AACTTCGAACTATTCCGGACTGCTGGCGCCCACTGAGAATTACCCCCATCCCCAAAGGCACGTCAAAGGTCCCAATAGCGAAGCGTTTCAGACCAATTGCTCTGACTTCCACTGGTTTGAAATTGATGGAGCGATCAGTTCTGCACTCTCTTCAGTTATCTCTTACCACCTCCGATGACACTTAGCAGTTTGCATACAAACAGAAACGCTCTACATTAGATGCCATTTCTTCTCTAGTTCATTTCATCTGTAAGTCCCCTAACGAGGAAGCCAAATATGTGCATTGTGCGTTTCTGGACTTTTCTTCCACTTTCGACTCTGTGCCCCGTTCTCTTTTACTAAACAAGCTCCAATCTTTTGGCCGTCCCGCTTCTCTTCTTGAATGGCTTGTTCATTACTTTTCGCAAAGACATCAGTATGTTGAATTGGGAAGAAGACAGACAACCGCAGCACTCAGCAGCTCGGGTATACTTCAGTGTGCTTTCCTATCACCTTATCTTTTTTCGACTTATATCAGTGACTTACCTATTACTCTCTATGTTCGACATTTTAAGTATGCTGATGATATCGTCATTTCTGTTTCCATATCTAACCAATCAGAACTGGCTGAATATAATACAAACCTATCCAACCTCGTTTCATATTCCACTTTTTCCGGTCTAAATCTTAACTCTGAAAAATGCCTTGAATGTATTTTTACTTTAAACCGTTTCTCATCTCCCTCCGATAATATCCAGATTCATGGAAAGCCGATGAGCAGGGTGAGCCATGTGAAGTACTGAAGTGTTACACTTGAAAGTAACCTTCGCTGATTCTTCCATACCCAAAGTGTTGCTCGCAAGTTGAAAAGTCTCTTTTTTCAACCCGGACGTACCTTTGTTCACAGACGGTTAGTGTCCTACTCCGATAATCTAATGGACGCCCATTTTGAAGGAAACAAATGCTAGAAATTGTGTATGAGCTGGAGAAGTTCAATGACTACAACACAAGCAGCATTAATTTTAACCGTTTAGTTGCAAAATGTTTCACTGCAGTATTAACGGGCCTGAATTACTATATAGGGATAAATCCAGTAATGAACAAATTTTAAGGAATATACTATAGCAATATTTTACTATAACTCATTAAAAAGGGCTACAACTAAACAAAAATTCATTTATCAGTTGTCTCACTACCCCACTCTGCACCAACTTAACCAGTAAAGTAACCATCTGGATTAATCGGGACTGATTCTGGCTCGACTCCTACCATGTGAAGAGACTTTTCCCCATCTATGTTTATCACTTCAATTAATTTGCGTTACCACTTAGAGGTTACTTGACGAACCACTATTGATCGGTGTTTTTTTTCGGAATCATCACTAACCGTCAGCTATGAGGTTACTGGAGAAGTTTGACGAATTGCTCTCTGTTCACCTTCGTTTATCACGTTCATCCAACCAAATCGGGTTATCTTAATAATTTTTTTGCATAACAATCGATAAACTTATAACGACATTAAACAAATCCGGTCTTCACGTCTTCGTCAGTTGTCCACTGTAGTTCACTTTCCCAATTTGCCAGGGAAGCTAGGCAGCGACTTGACGGCAGACAAAAATGAAAGGCGAAGTGGGGGGAGTGGGTGGCTGGGCGTTTTGGTGGACCCGGTTTGCATTTCGTCTGATCAGTTATGTTCTCGTGGAAGCGTGTATTTTTTTAATTTTCGTCTAACTTCACATACTTTGTGTGTGTGACAGCTTTTAGGTGCGAATGTTGATTGACACGAAACGGACGAAGACTAAGTTTGATCAAAAAGGTAGTGACGAAGGGGTAAAATGAGACAACGGCCTTGTCCGTGTATACATATGTATGTGGGTGTGTCTGTCAATGACGGTTTAGTTGCCGCATTGAAGCAAATTCAAGTGGAACAATTTTCAAAACTTTTAGTTACTTGAATAGTGTAAAACAACATTTTTTTTAAGTCGGGAACATATGTTGGAGAACGGAATGATTGACACGCAGGATTTCGGTGCCACTGCCTAATTTATATTTTCCAATCCAGATACCTGTCAGCCGATGTGAAAAAATCTAACAATCTATCAGAGCAAGCTCATACTACCTAATATGGTATTTCGGTAGGCAGTGCAGTAAAAACTGGCTGGCATAAAATATCATATGAAGTGTACGAAAAATATGTGAACCGTGAGTTGACTCGTGATTACTTCATTCTTCTGGTTGATCCATCTTTCTTATTACGTAAGGATAGTATTATTTGAATCCATTGGAACTAAAACCAACGTGGAGAGTTTCCGACTCGCGCTAAGCTGAATTAGAAATACATCTGGATTAAAAAAACTTAAGCCAAGTATATATTCAAATAGGAATTTATGACCCATGAGGTGTTCTACTACAACTTTTGAGTTCATCGTTTGGGCAAAAGAGTAAGAAAGTCAGATTATCGGGAACCAAATCGATCTGCGAGAACGGTTTAAAGTGTTCATCTACATTTTTTCAGTGGGATTTTTATTAATTCTCTTGAGTGAACCTTGTCAAGGTTGTGAGCACAAAACACAGATAACCAAAACGATTGCGGATAATGCAATATTTGTGAATCCCATTGACCAGAAGCGTAGAGCTCGGAACTCGACTGTGATCTGAGTTACTAGACTTTTTAAGCAATGCACAAAATGCCATAAATGACCTCATCAAGTGCTTTCTGATGCAAGCGTGGAATTTTAGCCTGGTGAATTGACAGTACCAGTCCAACCGGCAGAATGTTTTCTCATTTGGAGCAACATAAACACAAGAACAACATCGTTTCGAGACCGAAGCTGATAAGTTCAACCTTCAAACATATATGCCAACGATCTGCCGCTTGTGTGCTTTAACATAATCCTCATTAGTTCCACAAACTGGAGATACCTCTCTGCTGGGATGATACTCAGATCCTTCTCTTTCGCCGATATCCTACTTACATCACTAGCCTGTGATCTGGCTAGCAAGACTGAACCTCAATTTTGCGTCAGATGAATATTTTCTTCACTTTTACAAGCCCAACTACACCCACTGTTGAGTACTGCAGTCACTTGCACTGTTGTGCTCCGTTTTCTTCCCTATCATCTTATGTTGATCTGATACAACGGGAAACTATTTGCGTCAATGAAGATCTAACTATCACTTACAAATAACAGACCATAACTGGAGAGTCTCTTTAATTTCCCTCGTTCACCGTTATTGCAATGGATTCTGGTTCTCTGGGACAACTTCTTTCACGTTTCTGTGTCCTGCCATTATGCTGTACCCTTATCAATTAACGTGACATGAGCATAGCTGGGCTGCATTCTATTCCTCCATCTTTACAAGTACTTCAATATTGTAGAGCACACTGTCTCTTGCCTTTATACCCTTTCTCAAAACTACCTTTGCAATAACTCATCAAACAACTTCATATACACCTGTATGGACACCTACACCTCCTTTGTCTTTGTTATTGTCCTTTAACACAACCAAATAACTGACCGTCTTCTGCAGAGGTAACAGAGAAATATTCTGGCTTCTCAGGTTTGTCGCAACATGGTTATGAGAATTTAGTTAATGTGTGAAGTAGAGCAAATTCTCTGAAGAAGAAAACCCGAGCCAGTGGCTGCAGGCAAATCGCTTTGAAAACACCGATTTATCTCTGATCATCAATCTTAAGCCCCTGTGTATACTTGCACAAATAACTGGCTGGAAATGCCGAGCGTTGCGAATGTTCTTTTCTGGTGGTGGCGACGATGGTGACGGCGAAGTCGGCGGCGGCGGTAACGGTGATGGGGGTGATGGTCACCAATAAATCGGCTTAGAGGTCGTGTTTTCGCATTCTAGCTTTATTTTCCCCAAGGAAACCTTTAATTGGCCACGGCTTCTCTTCCAACATATGCAGAAGTAAAAACTGTAAGCATTCAAGAGGTGGCTTATTTATTCACTATGCGTTTCACCGTTCCTGCCAATCAGCAAAACATCAGACAAATACCTCCGGATTCAGTGTGGTAAAATAATAGCTTTTCGTCCTGTCAGTCCCTTGTTACTTTTCACGATGAATGAGCGGTATCAATTTTCTGGGCATCTCCTTGTAGATGATACTTGCAAACTACACCCCTCTAATCCAGTTGCCCTATTTGTTTTTCAGTTGTAACCCTCAGACGAACACGACACCCCGCGAATATTAACTAAACCTTTGTTCTGTAATAAATAAAGGCGAGCAAAACGCCTATCCTTTTCATTATTAGGATTACTATTATCATTTATAACGGGTTATTTGCTCAGCTATTAAAAATGAAAAAAATTAACACTCTTTGCACGATGGTAAGCCTGTTCATCGGTATGATAGATTTGCACGCCATATCGCTTTGAACGGTGCTCCAGCCACCTAACCACGAGGTGATTCTGGATCATATTCTCATTTCACTATAATTGTTAAAATGATTCTCAATGGCATGGTGGTGCACAGAACACATGAGGAGTGGATTTGAAAAGCCAAGAAGCCCCGTACACTTGTTTCGATCTGCTTGGATTCCATCAGAGGTGGTTACCTTTGGTATGTTTCCAAACGTGTCATAACTCCGGAAGAGATGAGCGAGATACGATGCCCACAACAAACTCGTAAAAATGGATTGCTCTATATCATGTAGTAAAGGCGAAATAATAAAAACAGTTCTCACGGGTGCTACGTGATCGTGTGGGTAGCATGCAGGCTTTTTATTCGATCTCCAGTTGGGTCGATGAAATCTTACTTACACTTGTCTGTACAGGTATTGATCAAACTCGTGCAACATCCTGATTTTCATCACATTTGTTCCCCTCAACGCTTCGTTTCACCACCCTCACTCATGGGATTGAATATGCTATAGCCCCACATCATGTGCACCATATCTGATATAATACCCACTTATGTCTTTGCTTCTGTTGGCCACATACCAGTAAAATGGAAAATTTCGCGGTTATGACGATGGTCGTTGGTGCATTGGTTCTAAAATAACAAAGTCACAATAGAAAACGTAACTAGAATTTATTTACTAAACTTACTCACAGACTTCGTACAAGTATTTTACTTTCATCTCGTCCATGTTCCCACTTGCCCTTCTTCATTTTTGAGCACTGTAGGCATTCGCTTTAGCATAAAGTTCACCAAGTTGACCGCCAAACACAATTTGCCAGTTTACTCTAATACATCCCGCAGCTTAACCACTGACGATAACTGTGGAGGCAGCTGACTTATGCCTATTTCTGATATAGAGAAAAGTTTTTGATTAAATTAAAATCCCAGCTTATTCAACGAGGTCAAGGTCAACTTTCGAAGGTCAACTTCTATGTTTCATGGACTATGTTATCAGTTATTTTCGATAATGCATGAGTAGTTTATAGCTAAATAAGTTATCAGTTTAAGATAGAAAACTTTCATTCTTTTGCTTATTTGCTGTGCACTGAATAAAAAGAGATAAGCAATTTAGGACACGTGTGCTCAACTTAATAAACATTCTTATGGAACAGGAATCATTTATTAAAAAGAATGAATTCTCTTGCCACTTCGCTTATAATATTTGCCAAATTTGAGCTGTAACTTCCGAAGTACTACAAATCTTATCGCAACACTCAAGGTCACTCAAATTCAAACGGTGATAGAGGAGAACTAAGAAAATAGAGGTGGGAGATGAAATCCGGAATAAATGCACTTTACTCATAGCCATCAATATACAAGTATATTATTGGAGACTGAAATGTATTTTCAAAATGAGAGTGATGTTGCACGAGTTTGATTAACACCTCTATTCAAATATGAATTATTTGAGAACGAAAAGTATGCGACCTCTACCACACTTTTCCTTAACTATTTTAAAACGAGCAATCCATTCCACTCAAACTTATGCATCGTCCACTTCACATAAACTTCATTCGCTTCATTTGCAAAACGGAGCGTGTTTGAAAGCTGAGCTTCGAGAGTAAGCTTACCCGACGTTGTACGATTAGACTAAGAGAAGAAACTGGACAAATCTTGTAAGTTGCAGCTAGATCGATCAGTCAGACGAAGCAGGAATAGATTTTGCAGGTTAGGATGGAAAATGTATTCAGCCATTAAAACTTTGCCACCTAGAGCTTCAGCAGAGTACTCTGTATGATCTTCAATGTCGGTACAATATTACGTCGGTTACNGTCGGTTACCTACTCCTGTGCTAATTCGCCACCCAAATTTCATCCGTGGTACTGCATCAAATCGTGAGCGGAATGCGTCAGTGTACAGAGTTGACGAAATATACTGGCACAAAAAGACTTAATCAAAATGAGACATCCAGGGCGAATGATAGGGAAAGGTTGATTAGAGACCGATCATGTAACCCTACACTATTGAATGAATAATGAACTTCTGGGTTCTAATGCATAGCAAGCGCATAATTAGGCTTTGGAAAAACGGGACCACTGACGCCGATCATAAACGACTCTAGAAACTTAATCTGTGTTCCCAAAGAAACTTGATCTGGGTGCATATCACTGTAAGTGCACTTGGGACCGCGATTCTGTAATTGCCTAGATGGAACCAACCGTTGGTATCAGTTAGAACATAATTTAAGAGACCTGAAATTAGGAAGACCTTCAGAATGAATTGATTTTGTCATTGGCAAATCCAGTGAACTATGTTACCGAACTTGCTCACGCTTCTCATGTTGCTGTGCCTGTGTTTTGGATTTGAAGAAAACAGGCGTTCATTTTATTTAACCACGGTGCCTTCTGGTGTGATTCAAAAGTCAATCATGTCAAAATATGCACTTTCTATGTACAAATATCATAGAAAAGGAACAATCCTATTACACGACACCACAATGGCAAGAAGTGTATGCGTGTACGTGAATATGTGCGTGCGTATTTCCGCCGGTGTGTGTGCTTGCGCGTGCGTGCCTGTTATTGTTTCGCTTCTCTCAGTCCCCCATCTGCATGCGGGCGTCCATCAATGCTTCGTCTCGTCAGCTGGAAGACCCGAGAGTGCTCTGCCAATTAGCAAGCCAGGGGATTCGGTGTGTGTCTGTGTGTGTGTGTGTGCGCGCGCGTGTGGGTGTGGGTGCACGCACGCACGCATGCATGTGTCCTCATACACACACACACACACACACGCACGTAAGCTATAAAACAGGTGCAAAAAGTGGACAGTTCAAAAATGCAATATCTATACAGAATATTGAACAGGAAAGATGTGATCAGTGAAAAGTTTTGTCGGTAAGCTGCTCACACAGAAAACTCGGAGACTCACAATAGCACACAAATCCGTGCATACACACACACACACACACACAATGTTGCACGTGTGGTCATAGAACGAAGAGGGATGGTGAGAGAAAGATCAAATATCATGGATGTCAATAGTTGCTCGCGCGCACGCACGCACACGCACACAAATTTACACATGCACAAATGCACAGATAGGGGGAGAAGGTGCAAAATCAGGCTGACAGATCAGCAGTTAGAAACAGGGTAAGGGCGAGGAGGAACGCAGCATTCGAGACTGTTTACGAGAATAAACGAGGTGACAGTTGGATCTGGTACATAGAGTTGAGATGGATGTGAATGGAGTTACTGTTAAAATTCACATAAATGTATGTAGCATAGGTGAAGTTTCTTGTACAAAATACGATAAACACGAGCAGCGGATATCGGAGGGCCGGTCGAAAGAAAAGAAAGAAATAGTCAAAGAGGAACGACCAGCATGGGAGTTGCACGGGCAGGGAAGAATTGAAAAAAGATCAATTTTATCTTGGTTATGAGGTGAGTTTCTCGGGTGTGTGATTTTGTCTCCCTGTACGTATGTCAGTCTCTGTGTGATGATTATCCGTCGACAAATGATAATCATCATGAGGAAGAGAGCGAGGGGGGGGGGCGAGAAAAAGAAGACGCTGNGGGAGTCGTTTTGCTCGACCAAATTTGTAGTGTGTAACACCAGCAAATATCGATCAGTGTATGACGTGGGAATGTCTGTTTCGATTTGAAGAACAGTCCACTTGAGTAAATGTATACATGGAAGTTTGGTGTGAAATGCTCCATACCCGTTTTCAGTTGATGCGTCTATGTTCCCGGACGGTGCGAACAAATGAGCGCAAAATATTTGGGTTGACTTGCTGAATGAATCAACAAAAGAGGTCAAGAGTTTGTGTTTGTTCTGAAAATTTGGGGACGGAAGATTAACACAATATCTGGTATTTTCTCTTGCTCACGTGGCATAGTGATCGAAAGAGGATAAATATTCCAACGCGGCATTATAACAGAATTGGTACTGGTCTTCAGTCTCTACCAGACCTGGGCGCTGCGTTCGGAGCATTCGTACTGTCTGGAACATATCAACCACACCCTCGTAGCGCATTCGTTCGAGTACGATAGACAAAGTCAAGAACACACCGGTCCGACCGACTCCATTACTAAACAGTCAACAGGAAGAGAAAAGTGATGGATTTAGGGGTGCATGATGAGAAAGTGTTCTTAAATCTTGATTGAAATGAACAGGCATATGTAAGTAGACATTCAAAACTGTCCCGTTAGTTGTTCCATCAAGAATGTTACAGCCTTAGTTGTTCTTATGTATTTCTTTATTATAATTACCGTGGCATAAACATTTTTCTGGTTGTCTTCTGCATATTCAATCTTCGTCTATGTATCTAATTGCTATCAGCTACTATCAACTTATTTGAACGGAATAACCACAGCTAATCCTCTTCCAAACAATACTGTGTAAGATGTGAACTTTCACGTAACATTTGGACTATCGACCGATCGAATTCATGTTTATCTGTGTCGACACTTGTTGACAGGCCATTTGGATTGAGAGTCCACTCAACTCTTGTTCAAAGATCCATCCACCAGTTGAAAAAGATCAATTTCTCTTATGGTCATTTAGTTACTTATTGAACTATTCATGACACACCGGCAAAACCATCAAAACCTTGAATGTTCTTCCTCTTCCAGGGAAGAATGAGACAGCTCAACATGTGAGAAACTGATGTCCAAACAGTATATTCATGTGCTTTTATCTGAATTTATTGTCCAATTTACATCACCGAAGCTTCTGTGGTCAAAGCAGTAAACATTTTCAACCTCATGACACATTCGCATTAAAAGAAGCCGTCAAAAGCCCGATAAGTTGGCCTCATCAAATGATCACTGTATCTGTGTGATTGGGGGGAATTCGTTTGGATGGAGGAAGGACTACCAGGCAATTATAGAAAAATTCATGTTGTAGAAAATCGTCAATTTGAAGATGCTTCAGATAGCCTCGAGAAATAACAACCCATTCAGATGTTCTTATCAATTCTCCCACCCCCTTCATATGTGGACAACATCCGAATAGTTGGCTAATCGATACCTAAAGAAGGACAGAAGCTGTTGTGTGCGGTCAGTATCCCGGGGTGCTCGGCACTGGGCTGCGTGCATAAATTCATTTCGGCCAAAAATGATAAAAATTGAAATACCGATCTGCCTATCACGGTACGTATATATTTCACCTCATTTTTGTGTTTTGTCCAATGTAGAAACACGAAATGCAAGTTGACAAACAAACAGACAAATGGATGAACGAAAGAGCACGGATGTTCGATAAATAGCACGCAAGCAGAAGACCGCTTCCTCAAACAAAGCGCCTCTTCAGGGGCAGGTTGATCGGTACCGGTGTCCTCGATTATACACAGTTTGCCCGTACACAACAGCAAACGAATGCACGTTTGGTCTGTGTGCGTGTGAGACGGCGCTCTCACTCTCTCTTTTTCTCTCTCTCTCTCTCGAAATGAAGAGGCTGAGAATAGTTGACAATCAAGAATGATTCATTACAAGCTAGATTCGCGTGCTTTGCTGACAGCTTTGCACTCAGCGAACCGCACCGAAATCGGTAGCATATGTTCCACACATAGTTGGGGACAGAGGGGATCCGAACGATTATCACAATCGCTTCATTCATGAACAGACACGCACACGCACACATACAGACATTTGAGGGAGATAGGAGACAAGGGAGATGAAACTTATCGCCAACACTGGCCAAACGCGTCGCATTATGATTTTATCTGACAACCGATAGGGAAGCTGGTAGCGGACTACTGAGCGTCCATCGATTCCCACATCGTAGGTCTGAGCGAATGGAGCGAGATGGATAGTAAATTCTATTCTTTTTCTATGAGAAATGTTTCTTCCTATGATACGCAGTTGACCGCGAACATCCTCGCGGAGCGGTATCGTAAACGGGTAAAAAAACGAAGCATATATATTTCACTTATCGCCTCTTCGTGGACCGATATGCCTGTGTACAAGCAGGCACACCAGCACAGAATAAAATTCGCTCGGAACAGGTTCGAATCAGCATGGTCGACGATCAACCACTAGCCAACCAAGCTCGACGCTTCTACTTTGCCTGTCATCCGGTGCCTCTGGTGCGTGCGCCATTCCAGATAACTAATATTTCAATCGCATGCCGGATAACTTTTTGTTGGTTCTGCTGTTCGTGGTGATGGTGGTAGTGGTGGTGATGACCGGAGGAAAAGGTTTTACCAACTTCAGGCCACTGTGCAAACAGACCGGGGGGAGGGGAAAGAGNCCCCCATGATAGTATAATCGATTTGAAGAAAAACTGACGGACCGGACCAAGTTTGTGATGCGCCATTTTAACCAGGCGAACTCTATTTCCATGTTTACTCCAGAGTTGGCCAAAGACATAACATCATGTTAAAAAGCAGTGTGGGATAGTTGAGGCGAACTTCCGTGTGTATCTCGGAACACGAACATGACCCATATGATTTTATTCTTTTCGTGCGATGCTGAGAATGTCCCAGTTCAGTTAAAATGTGAGAACTACCACTTACTAATGACGACTGTTGGTCTATTTATTTGGATTTCGTGTTTATGAGGAGCAAGCTTCCCAAGTGTTGATAGTGACAGTCTCATCCACCGAAATTAATACGATTGTTTTCTGTTTCCGGCACCGGATATCAATTTTTGATGTGTCAGGAGAGGTAAGAATGGTGATACCACAGAACTCAATNCTCAATCTGATAATGCCGCTCATTTCATACAAGGAAAGTTTCTCATAAACTACGACCAAAATAATGGCCTGATTTGAATGCCAGTCATATAAATCTGGGAACACTGAGTTAGTTTTGTTTTAAAAGTCCAAAACAATGATATCGGCTTCTATGGTTCATATTAGTCGGTATTGTCCTTTCCCGTGTAACCGCAACTAACACGAAACATCTATCTACCTGATTCTGTTTAAATTGGTTGGATACAAAGGACATTTTGAGTTGAATATTATGCTCAATACTCGATTTTCCGCGTCTACAAACGCATTTCGGGAAATTTAATCATTCGGTTACGTTCATTCCAGTTCGATTTGATCATCGCTTGACGACTCAAACGATATCCACCCCAGACGGTAAAACATGACCCGTGAAAGGGATTTCGACCAGTGCATCCACTTTTTAAATGACAGTGAATCTACTAAATGACGAAAAGGTATAAACTAATGAAACACAAGAGCCCATAGCCCCCAAACAACAAGGTCACAGAACCAAACGACCCCTCCAATCCGAGTTTTGTTGGTCAGCATGATATTTGAGAATTAACTTGCCGATAGACTCCAGGAATACATCGAAAAAAGCCAAACATTGTTTGACAAAATTAATCACGCGTAAAAATAGTGGTTTATCTAAACGACGGATGAGAAAAATAGTCATGACAGGAGACGCATTCGCTATTGCCAAATACGCAATTGACAGTAGAATAGTGTGTGAATTACACTTCTCTGTTGATTCCTGAGTGCGCATTTTGTTCTGCCGGTTTTCCAGCCTCATTGGTTGAATCAGAAATAGACGTTTAAATATAGGCACAACTTTTTATACGTTTCTCTGCTATGTTTTTTCTATCGTTTATTCCTCCATTTCGGCACAAACCATCGATTATCCACGAACAACTTATCCATTAAAATGAATACGCTGAAAGACAAGTTATTTATTTTAACCGATCAAGGTATTCCGGTCATGATGTATTTGAGCAGCAAACAGCGGAATAGTCTCAAATTCCATTGTTCCGACCCCTGATAAAAAAAGAATCCGTTTTTTCTTTGATATTCTCTCCGGTTTCCCTGAACAACTCCAAATCCATTCATTTTCGCACATCAGGGACAGCCGAAGCCACTTATATTCTCCTGATATAGCATATCATGTTTGATACAGGCAACTTGTTTCGATCACTTCAGTTTTCATGACCGAGAAACAATTGTATCCTACGTAAGCATGATCACGACATCGGTTCACGATTAGGGACGTAACCAAATGGCTGTGCGAAAGTTGAACTTCTCACTGATTGCCTGACAGTATCCCTACACTCGCCAATATCCATTTGTTTCCTCATGTTCACATCTAATTTAACTAGCATCATTGTCCGTTGTTTCCGATTTCGATCAATGCATAAACCCTCGTCATTAGTTCGCCGAAAATATATATGTTAGTCTATATTGTGTTTCTTCGGATGACGAGCTTAGTTTGCAATTATGGTTGAACTAAGGTCTGTTTTTCATTAACCCCGGTGAAAACATTTCTGCTTACACAAAACTTTGATAACAGTCTGTCACTGTGATGAAGGTGAGCCCAAATGAACACATGTTTTGTTCATCAGAGGACATGGTCAATCGAACAAGTCTAGCACAAGGCAAACATTGTGAGTCGCTTTTCGGGATCGGTGAACTGTCTCCGGTGCATCACTAGCCCCGACAGATTGAATGCCAAGACAACTTACCTGCAATGTACTGTAATAGGACCATCTTGACCAAATTGCTCCTTTGTTTTATGAACTTGTCCTAAGAATTCAATGAATGCTTCACACGTATCGGGAACACCTTGTTCGGGCCAATCCGTGAATTGGAATTGGCGTAGCGTACGTGATTGACCATCCCTGGCATCGGTTAGCTTGAATTCCCTGAGTGTGTAGTTTGGCATATTGTACTCGACCATCGGATCGACCACATAATACTGGTAACGTGCGGAACGTTCGCTCGGCCAGTATGGATAGCAACATTCCTTTGAAGGGTTTTTAGTGGAGAATAGAACAATAATAATAATAATAATAATAATTCGGCGATGATGACCAATATCGATCGTTAGGAATCAATCGATTATTCAAAAACAATGATGGTAGAAAACCAGGCAATCAAGAAAATCAAGGTGTGAAATTTGGAACCAAACAGTAAAAGTCGGGTAAGTTAATCACCTAATCACCTAAATCCTGTTGGTTACCGCTGGTCAGTTAGATATATAGGATCACAGAACGTTGAAAACGGCTGATAATTCTTATTAAAATATTTCCTTCCAAATGAACAGTATCATTGTCTGAAAAGCTTCTGTCAGCAGAATGGATCGGAACTGGTATGTAGACTAGATAATCGAACACCATTATGTCGTAAAAAGAATCACGGAGCCACATGATATGATATAGTTCAGTTTACTCCTAGTGGTTATAGTAACGAATATTCTCATCTATCTGTCAATTCTGATCGACTCTTTTGCAATTTATCCATAAATGCCCTCAATACAATTACGGAGAACCGGAGAATTTCTCAGTTTGATTCCCTTCGTCAATCGGTGGCTGGTCATAGGTTTCACAAATGTAAGGAACTATTCCGTAAAAATTTGAAATCTCAGTTGAATTCATATTGAATCAGTTCAAACCTTCGTAATTTCAAAGTTCAGTTGCTATTGTTCTTTTCATCTTTTAAGAGACACAGCTTATTTGGAATGCTACTTATTGCTGATATCATTTGAGAAACATACCAAGTAATCTGTCCTCCATTATTCTGTCTGGAGACTGAATATCTAAAACTGCGAGTGATTTCACTATGGTCAATTTGTTCTCTGAATGCGCCTGACAGGTTCAAGCCCACCACCAAATCAGTTGCCCATAAATCATAGAATACAAACGATGTGACAAAAATGTCTTTGGTGTCCTAATTTATCAGAACAATAGTCGTGTATCACGGGTCACCCAGGCAACTGCCCCTCGACGAGACAAACCCGAGTTGTGTAACCAGTTCGAATTCGTGGCTAGCCTCGCATTGAAGTGGCCAGTAGGACTGCCCATCCTTGAAGTGTGATCACTATTAATGGTTCTTCGACCAAACCGGTTCGGTTTGGTGACATTTGCCCTTCGTATTGTTTGACTTCTCTTTCCCGCACATGTTCATTCATCCCCAAATCTGATGAAATTACCACGAAGTAGCTAAATTCAACACATCCTGTGATCCCTACTCTTCTTTTTGCTCTCATGAAAATGTTTTGGTAATGTCGGATCCCAATAGGAAAATATTACATGATCTCTAAATATTTCATTACTCTTTGAAACTAGGTAGATAAAACGTATCCCATTTGTTGCGTGACATATGAAACGACCGTTCGAAGTTGTTGCATTGATATTCAGATAATCCAGCTGACGTTTTGCTACGCGATTCTTGTCTTCCTGTGTTTGCCTTGTTCACACCGATTTATTTTCTATTCCTTTACAGCACCATGCTTTTTTAAATGGGGATTATTTCACCGAACGCGTATACGTCCTAGTTAGCTTATTTCTAAAAACCACACTGAGGTGTAAACTGTAAGTTTGAGTTGCCCAGACACGGTTACTTTACCTAAAGTTTTGTGAGTAGGTCTCCAACGTATACGTGTGTTAAAAGTGTTTCTAATTAAGTAACCATTGTATTTGTGACCTAAAAGACCATGCATTTAGTTCTTGTGTTTTCAAGGTATTCTATCCCAGTACAACTGAAAAAAAATTTCATCATGCAAGACTTCCAGAATGCTGTATATAATTGGTTACTGCTAGTTAACACTTCCAGTTTGAACTATTTCGCACTGTTCTGTTTGACCTTTGACTCACTTTTTTACTGTGTAAAATTCATTTGACTACCGTTTTTATTCCTCGTTCCGCGAGGTTCGGTTTGTTGTTCTCATTGTTTGTAGAATAAAAAGGTAAATGTAACTTGTTTACCTTTGAAGGTTTTAACCAGTTTTCATCCTTTCTGGAACCATCACTGTTGTTCATCCCATCTATAATTAGCAAAGAGCAAACAAACTCCCCACGGCAAGCAACAGCCCCGTCCTCCTAGACTGACTACCATAAACTGCGAGAACAGCCTAGGATGGTTGATTGGCCAATCGATGGCAAGCCCAATTATAAGCGAGACTTTGAACGTTAGCAGCACTGAAGTTAACAGTTACAATCCTCATTTTAGGCGATTGAAAGGCAACAGTTTACCTGCCATCGGCACCACCACCACATAAAACGCGAGAACTCACTCTTCCACGTTCGACCAATTTGGTCAGCATCACAACGATGTTGGAATTCAGCTCCCACATCATTCGCCAAAAATCCTCTGCAGTTTTTGCAATCGGACTTTGTGTAGCAATGTACGCCTTACGATCCCTATAACTGTCCACAAAACTGGCATTGATGTAATCAGACCCCTCCACACCACGGATTGGCTGTAATGGGACCCGAGTGGACTCGTACGGAAGCGCGTTCAGTGCCCGATTTTTTCCTTTATTGCAAGCCAACTGGGCGGAGGTATATTTGGCCCGAGGTAGACGAAACTGTTGAAGTTTCTGGAATAAAAACGTGGTGAAATTGATGGAGAAAAGGTGATCTGAGTCGTGATTGAGGTGTCACACAATTACAGTTAGATGTATGTACTCCAAGTGGACTATGTTTTATTGTACAATATCAATCTGCGAATCTTTGCAAGTGTACGAAAGAATATTGGTTAGCATCATGCAGTTTTCCGGTGATGGTAAAAATATTACGAAATGACCCAAATCGATTGTTTGTCTCACATACTGATCGGAATCACATAGACTACGAGGTGTTCTCCATCTAAGAAACTCTTTTTCGTATGTCCTTTAACAACCGCTCTATTTCAGAATTTGCTAGCCTGTTCCTTTATTGAGGGTACTCGAAATCAGATCGTTAAATCGCACAAAAACGACCAATCATTTCAACTGGATTTCGTTTTACATTTGCAACAAAGGTTGCATTCTTTAGAGTCCGAATTTACCCATCTTCCATTGTCCAGATGCGATGGCGAGTAAACGTGTCCATTTGTTCAAACAGTCGACATATTTCATTGATGTCTCAAGCAAACAAGCTGACCGTGTGCTGAAGGACAATCCCGACATGATTGCAAGCATGAAGTTTGTCATAGAGAACGGCACTGCACGGACCAAAAGGGCCAAATAAGAATGGGTTTTAAAAAAACGGATCACCTCCGTGACAAAATGTGTCTCCGTGACCGGCAAAAGTGCTCTGTATTTCTCAAATAATTGTCTTGTGCCCGTGTAGTAGTATCTGTTTATGCGAATCCGAATTTTTGTAAAGTGTTTGCGCATATTTTGCATACCAAATTCAAATAAAGGTAATACTGCGAAAGTTTGAAAGTCATTGAAGGAAACTGAAGGTCAATAGTATTAAGGGAAAGTGCAGTTCTGACCTCATGAATCATTTTTTCTTCAGTCATTTTGACTGAAAATCGTATCGGATTCGTCGATCAGATTGTCCGAGTGATACGTAAAGCCGTCCGCCAATGATAACGAATTCACAATATGCCATACATCTGACTACTATCGGTTGTAACCATTGATTTATTTAGCCAACAAGTTCTATTGGTGCAAGTTTCGAGTTTCAATCCGTTATGTTTTGTTCTTGGGTGCTGAAATTGAGACCACCAACTTTATAGATAAATTGTCAAAGCCTCCAAACTAGAATAGAACTGATCGGTCGGATCAGAGGTTGAGTCAGTTCGGTTGAATAAATGCAATTACCATTTCTACTGGTTTCTATTACAGCGATGATATGCTCAGAAGGAATAGTCCAGTTTAGTGGTGGCATGAGTAACTGACGTTAGTTTAAGTCCAATTTCATAATTAGCAATTAGAATATGCTGTTGTGACCAGAAAAAGTGCACATACTAATTTAGGATATTCTGTAGGTTCCCGACAAACATTCATCTTTTGGAATTTATCCTAATTACCCAGTGAATTACATCGATCGATGCTGAAGGCATTTAAATACCGTCATACGTAATCACAGGTGCATATAAATGAAAGTGATTAAAGAGTTTATTCCGTTTCAGTGAAATAGCCTTATGAGATTGGGGTTGAATAATACTGAGCTTGACTTATCAAAGGAATTTTTAAGTAATGCTAACTAGTTTATGCGAGCTAGTATTGATTATTTATTATAAATTATTTTTGTCTCAATTGGCATGGTATGTGCTTCTCCATCCAATGAATTTCAAATATTCGGACAGGTCGATTGAATAGGTTTAGGACAAATACAATATCATTATTTCGTTCTGTAAATTCAATCAATAAAAGTTTATTAATTTACTCACTTTGAATTCCAAATCCATTCCCGATCCACCGGTTGCGTCTAACAAGCGTAGTTTCTTCACATGCGCAAGCAAATTTCGCGCGGGAACTTCCGTGTTCCCGGCATCGATTGCTTCCAACAGGGCGGAGTGAATAAAGACATACTGGTCCTCTGTTTGGACCATAAAATTCCTTTGTGTCCGCAGTGCTTTCACACAACCGTAAATGTCCACAGTTTTCTCATATTTGATACGTTCGAGCATCATGTCAATCACAATGAATGCACCTGAATGTTTTCCGAACGCACGAAAAGGGTAAGTAGAACAAGGGAAACGGTGATGATGATAAAGGGGGGAACTGTCCTCTTTTATCCAAACGAATGTGATTGATAATAGGAATGATTCAAGTGAAGTGTTGTGACATTTGTTTACTGAGTGATGAATTCGTCGTATAAATTAGATGGGTGTGTTAGCTGGAAAATCCGTTTCAACCTAGTAGTGTGACTTCATTGACCCAAATTGGAATCGAACCCAGGACCTCCCAGGTAGAAGGCTATCACACAACAAACTCGGCCACCGGGTAACCAGTCAGACCGTTTCTCATTTTAAATATCCAAGATAAAACACAATTGATGTTTACGAGCTTGTTGCCTGTTTATCATTATTGCAGTCTTTATCTGGTGCACTTGAAACAAATCTAAAACTACGGACGACTACTGTCCTGATTTTGTATTTGCATTTGTTGAGAGAGAAACTCTGTTCAATATTCCTTTACCGCTCAGGTTTGCATTGCGCACAAATAGTAATTTATATTAGTTATGCAGTTGGAAAGAGAATATTGGCATTTTATTCTGTGGTTACTATGACGAAAGTGTTCTAAAGAGTCCACAAGTGTACTAAAATGTAGAAATCTACTCATTTGTATCAGTCATGGTTATTTCCCTAATATGACAATATACCACGTCTTTTTAATTTGCGCCATTGTTATAGACTAAACGAAAAGTACACAGTACATAAAAGTCATACCTTTGAATTGGGAAGGTTGATCAGCCTCGATGGGATTAGAATCCCCACATTGTTATCGCCTATGAATACGCGTGATCTCATGACCTACCAGCTGAGCTACGAGGTCACTATTCTTTGCATATTTAGATCACCCATCAAACTTACAGAGACACATGGAATCCATCAGGTTGCATGTCCCACAGGAACAATAGATATGTGCATACAGAAAGCAATTGAAGAAACAAATAATTTTCATTTCAACTAGAAAAAAGAGGGGATTTAGGAAGAAAAAAAGTGATAAGCATCGGGGTAAAATACATCTTTCCTTAACTGGAGCGAGTCATTTCTGGGGTTCTGTCTCACTCCAGATAGAGATGGATATACCGATTTCGTCTTGACAGTACTGATCTTCATTGGAAACCGGTGAGTCCTCATAAAGGTGGTCCACTAATAGTACTGAGTGGCCGTTGTAGAGTGTAAAACACTTCTGATATGCACATACAATAAAACCGAGAGTGGATCGAGATCCATGCACACTGACCAGCAGAAAAAACAATTGGCCAAGAGGAGCGAACTCCAGTCGAATAGACCTGATACTGAGCCGGACGAAACCAATATGGCTCACTGTCAAAGTTGCGTAGCAATGACAGGGTTCGAAACCCGGAAGTTTAGGCCCAAAGAATTCGTCTGACAGTAACCTAACCGTTTACTGATTGTCATGTTAGATAAAAGCACTGGTAGACATTCTTCATGATATCAGTCTTTTGGATTACAAACGTTAACTCCAAATTCACCTTTGCAGCGTCTCTCTGACTGTAGGTGGTGCATCAACCGGTAATTTTCAATTCACTGTCTAATTGGAAAATGCTTTTGGAAACAGCATTTTGCTTATTATATTTTTGTGTTCGGTAAAAATAACGCCAGAATTTACTTATCCTTTTCATTCTAGGAAACTAACTGCCATTAGTAAAAATGCCGAGGTTGATGCTGGACATGTTTGGTTAGACGATGCAAAGTAACGATCTATAGACAGGATATACTTAAGACAGAGTTAAAACGCATTTAAAGGAGGGGTTCACAGGTTGCCCGGTTTAGGTAATCTCTTCAAACTAGATGCATATTTTGCTACAATCACAACATTTGTGACATTTAATACAGTATGCGGACTAAGGGGGTCTATTTTGTTGAGCCATGAACGCACTCAAATTGCACCTATTAAGTGAGTTGTCTTTTTGCTCCAGGACACAAGAAATAACGATTTGGTGGTGCTGTTAGCTACAAGTCATGCATTGGTTATGAATTTTGTTGCGGACTTCTTCAAATTTGAGTGAATACGTGTCTAACCTGACACAACACCTAGAATAAATGGTACATAGAAACGGGGGCCGTTATTCTTCTATATCCGTTGCTTCACATTAGTTAAATATGGATATGAACGATTCTGAAATATCACGCTTTCGAATCGTAGAGTTTCAAGATTCACTTGTCCCGCTTGCTCTCAGAGGTTTCCGTCCATCTGTGCATGCATTGGGGAGCCAAACTTGTGACATCAGTCCTGAATAAGTGTCATATATATATACTCAATTCCATCAATATGTTGTCAACACTACTTTGCTTAGCCACGTGTGTACATATGTGCACTCGAAAAGTTTTAATATTTTTACCGTATACAGGAACAGCTACAGTTATGGTGTTCTGTATTTCTATACGCAGGGTATTGCCCAATTAAGCAATGATATTCAGGCATTCATTTCGGGAATTTTCATTTATCTCTATGAGACCTGATCACGGTATGTGTATATTGTTGTGTATCTCAAATTGGAAACACCGGGTCTCCTTTTTCCATGGCAACAAGACCGAAAGAAGACATGTCGCGAGACCTTAACATTTCGTTTTTATGTTCTCACTCGCTGACACAAGGCAAACAAGCACATTTATAGCACATTGAATATGTTAATCCAAGTGAACGGACATGCACAGATAGATAGGGGCTATTAGCGACTTCATCAACCACTTTAGAACGTGTTCGGCGATCCACTATGATAATTGAAGATTGGTTTTGCCCACATGTGCTTAACCTCAACTACATGTGAACTGGTATACGGTGTGCGACAGAAACATGTACATGTTTGTCCGACTTGATTCCACGAGTAGAGCGGATAAGTCGAAGTTGAGCAGATGGGACTGTGCGGTTCAGAGCTGACTTTAACTTTTGGTGCACATCATTCCGGAGGTAATCGCACTTGAAAGATAGTTCGATGTAAACGGTTTTCTTATCTTAGTGTGTCTGGGAAACACATGTTTTTGACTCGATGGAATAGAGTTTTTACGAGACCACGTTTGTAAGCCATGGGTGAGAGCCTATAGAACGGTAGATACTGACTACTTCATGTTGCTTTTCTGTGGATAGAACGCTGTATGTGCTATCTAAGAGCTTCGTCAGTCTAACATCCAAAAGTGCTAAAGAATCGTTAGTTTCATCTTCATGGGATACGAAAACATGTCGATGAACAGAGTTAAATTGTTTCAAAGTGATTCAAAGTATTCTCGCTCCGTAAGAACAAAAATATCGTCCACATAACGTCTGTAACTTTATCTTATTCGAATTGTTCAACTCAATGACCGTGTACCTCATATTGCGTTCATTGTTGCATGCTTTCAAATTTTTTTTTGCCTTGTATACAAA